GGTTGTCAGACTTTTGATCACTGATTAATTATTTTCTACTACAGGCCTTTGCATTTCTGAGGGTGGTGGGGAGTATATTTTATTCCCACCTCCTCGCAGAGAGGGGTGAGAAAGGAATAAAAAAATGGATGATTTTTATCATTCAGGAGAAGCTTTGGCATCTTTGTGGATTGAAAGTGGCTCCTGACATGGCTTCCCTGTGTTGTTCATGCTTCTGACAAACAGCAAAAACGAGGGGGAAAAGTCAGTTAGCAAAGTAACACAGTAAAATCTTGCTGCGTTTCCAGATGTAAACTTCAAAGGATGCTGGAAGGGTGGAGGTGGGATGGGCAGGGAAAGTTAGATGGGATGGAGGCAGGCTGCAGGCAGGCTGGAGGAGGGAAATAGGCAGGAAAGATGCAGGCAGGATGGAGACGGGATGCAGGTGGGACGGAGGCAGGATGGAGATGGAAGAGCAGAGAATGGGATACAGGTGGGATTGAGGAAATATGCTGTCAGATTTGTGGAGAAAAACTAGATGGGATGGAGATGGGATGGATCAGGGAAGCAGGAAGGATGTGGGTGAGATTGAAAAGGGAATAAAGTGGAACGTAGGTGGGACTGAGGAGGGATGGAGGCCAGCAGGAGGTCAGAAACAGGCAGGAGGAGGAATGCAGGCAGGATGGAGGTGGGAAGGTGGAAATGAGGAAGGATGTGGGGAAGGCTGGAGGTAGGAAAACTAATGGAGATGGAGGCCAGCAGGTGGAGGGAAGCAGGCAGGAGTAGGGATGGAGGCAGGATGGAGACAGGATGGCAGAGGGTGGGATGCAGGTAGGATTGAGTAACGTCATAGGTAGGCTGGAGGAAGGATGCAGACAGATTGGAAGAGGATAACTAGATGGGATAGAGGCTGGCAGAAGGACAGAAACAGGCAGAAGGAGGGATGCAAGCGGGATTGAGGAGCGATGCAGGCAGACTGGAGGTAGGAAAACTCATTAGGATGGAGGCCAGCAGGAGGACGGAAGCAGACAGGATCAGGGAAGCAGGCAGGAGGAGGGATGGAGACAGGATGGCAGAGGGTGGGATGCAGGTAGGACTAAGTAAGGTCACAGGCAGGCTGGAGGAGGGATGCAGGCACTATGGAGACGGGATGCAGGCAGGATTGAGGAGGGATGCAGACAGGCTGGAGGTAGGAAAACTCGGTGGGATGGAGGCTGGCAGGTGGAGGGGCGCCGGCAGGATCAGGGAAGCAGGCGGGAGAAGGGAAGCAGGCAGGATCAGGGAAGCAGGCAGGCGGCAGGGGCGGGCAGGAGGCAGGATGCTGTCACGGCGGGGGCGGGCCGGGCGAGGTGACTCAGCCTCCCGGAGCTACCCCGGCCGCCGCTACCGAGTCTCGGGGGCCGTGCGGGGCGGTGAGTCCTGGGGGCCGGGCCGGGGACGCGCATAAGGGGCGCAGCGGGGCGCGGGCGCGGCGACGGCATCGGTAAGGGCAGGGGATGCTGCGGGGCGGGGGACGCGCGTGGGGCGGTGGGGATGGGGGCGCGCCCTTTCCGCGGCTCCTTGGGGGGCTGCGGAGCATTCAGCAGCAGCGTCTCCTGGTTTTTCCAGCGGCGTTTTGGTGTTGTTTTTTTTTTGTTTGTTTGGTTGTTTTTTTTGTGGGTTTTTTTTGTTTTCTTTTTTTTGGGGGGGGGGGGGTTTTTGTCCGTGGCTGGCGCGGGACGGGGTGTTGCGGTTGCGGAATTGCGGGAAGGGGTTTGCGCTGCGGCTCGAGGGTGCGGATGGTGGCAGGAAAAAATGCCGTGGACCGTCAAAAATTCAGCAGACCTTCAGTAAGGGCCACGGGAAGGGAGAGGAAGCGTCGTTTTCATAATAAAGGCAGGGAAAACACCCCAGCCCTGCTCGTCAGCTGACGCTGCGGTCGGTTTGGCACCCTGGGAACATCCCGTGATCACAGCCCAGCCTGGGTCTGGACCAGGACCGTGGCTTGGGAATGGCGCTGGAGAAGCTGCCATGCGTCGCCTTGGCCTGGAAGAAATCTCCCATTCCTGGATCCCAATCCTAGGGATGCTCTGCAGGCGTGAGACAGCAAAGATCGCTTCCTTGCGGCATTTCCCTCCTGGTTGCGGGTGAAGGGAAGGGATTTCCGTAGCACGGGGTGTCTGAGGTGTTGTGCAAGACTCTGGTTTGGGGATTGGACTGTAAGAGTAGAAAAAAAAAAATCAGTGCAGCTGTATTTGTGAGGAATCCTGTGCTTTCTCTGCATGGAAGCTGTAGAGGTGAGCTCTGGAGCTTGTGTCAGGGTGGATTTATTTTGCCAGATACTGAACAACCTGGTCTAGTAGGAATTCAGATGATCTTTAGGGTCCCTTCCAAGTCAGACCTTTCCAGGATTTTGTTATCTAACCTGTGCTTGTGATCTGGCTTTGCTAGAAAGGAGTAAGTGTGGGGAAAAGTGCCTCATGTTGTTTTTTTCTTGAGGAAAAAAAAGAATTCAAGCTCTGACAGTGCAGTGAGAGCTGTAATGAAGTCACCAGGCCACGGGTTTGGTGCTGCCAAGCTCACCTGGCAGCACAGCAAGCTGAGCTGGATCGTATCCTTAATGGGTTTGCTTTGTTGTGGCTTGGAGTCACAGACTAACCCTGGCAAACAGGACAAAGGACAAAGCCTGGCCTGGGCAAAGGGCTGGTGCTGAGGAGGACACATGACTTGGGCGTTGTTGAGCACCCCCCTCGCCCTGGAGGGGCATCCCTGGCCCTGCAGGGGTGGTGGGGGTGGGGTGTTTTAGAATTGAGGGTGGGACAGCTTTTATCTTCCTCAGACCCTTGGAGAAGGGTGTGTGAGTGCCTCTGTCTGTGCCTGGAGGGGTTTGGCCCAGACAGTGGAGGAGCTGAGATGCTTCAGGGCTGTGACTTATCTCGTCGTCTGACCTGCCTCAGCTGAGTCATGTGAGCTGGGCTTGGAACAGCCGGTTTTGGGGTTGAGGAGTTGTTTTCCTAACGAAAGTTAAGTGGGAATTGTAGGCTTTGAATTTTGAGGTGATTTGATGAAGACCTGCAGCAGCGAAGGTGTTTGCTGTTTGTGGGCACTGTGTGCACCTCCCCTGGCTGTTTAGAGGAGGGGGCTGTGGGATCCTGCTGATGTCTGGAATAACAGGGTTTAAATATCTGGAGCTCTGTCCCTGGGAAAGTCGGCAGGGAACTGCCCCTGGCTCCCAGATCTGTTTGAGGGGGATGGAGAAGGCACCTGGGTGGTGTCTCCTCCTTCCCTCCTCCTCTGCGACAGCACAGAAGGATGTGGGTGGATTCTGCAGCAGCAGCACAGCCGTCTCCCTCTAGATATTCTCCTCCCTCGCAGGCTGCAGCTGCTCCGAGCAGCTCCTGCCAGAGAGCCTTCGGCCTCACTGCTCCCTCCTCACTGGCTGGGAGTGGGAAGCTTGAGAGTTGCACTCAGGGGTCCAAATTTCCTTTTTAAGCATCCAGCTGGCTGAGTTGGGAAATTGTGAGAGTCCTGCCCAGGGTCAGGTGTGCTGCTGGGTAGTTATTTCTTGCTCGTTCTTCAAGAAACTGCATTAGCAGTTTCGGATCCTAATGCGGGGGGGGGTGGGGGGTGGTTTCTCTGCTTCCAGGGATGCAGCCCAAGAGCAGGTGAAGCAGCTTGGATGGCTCTTTGTAAGCCCCAAACATCCTCCTGCCACCTGGAGAGCTTTCTAGGGTGAAGCTGCCGCGCCCTAAGAAGTCCAACAGCCTTGTTTTCCTTTTCAAGCTAGTGAGCTGTGGTGGGATGTGACCTGTGAAAACAGCCCTAGTAGCCAGGGTTATCCCGAAGCTGCGAGGCACTTCGGGAGCTGTGGGAGGGTGGCAAAGGGAAGGGATCTCCTGGGTTGGCTGGAGCAACTCCTCTGACCTGTTCACCGTGCATGAAGAGGAGCAGATATCTGTGGGGTGCAGCAGCTGTTACACAATTCTGGGTCTGGTGCCGCTCCTCTGGTGGCATTTGAAGCAGCCGTGGGGTTTTGGTGTGTGGAGGAGATGGGGGTGGTGGGGGAAGCACGTGCCTGATAACGCTGCCCACGGGAAGCTCTTGCAGCCCCGATCAGCTGGGAAAGGGGGGCGGGAGGGGGGGTGATGGTGGAAACCAGCAGCCTTTTCTTGCTGCGGCCTCTCCGGGGTCGCTGTGGCTCCGGCTGCGCGTGACCCGCCGTCAGTGGGAATCGGGAATCCATCCTTGCCAGTCCCGTGCCTGTGTGCCCTATTTATAGATCTGCTGCGCGCTGGGCGCTGGCTGAAGCCGGGGAAGAGGAGGAGGAGGAGAAGGGGGGGGATTAGGGAGGAAGAAATGCCTCAAGATCGAGGATTTCCCCTTCCTTTTCCAGCCAGGTGCTGGGATACTCCATGCCAGCCAGCTGGGAGTATCAGCTCCCCCTTGAATCTTCATGGCCATAGGGAGACCTCCTAGAATAATAGAAAGGTGTGGCTTCGAAGGGAGGTTTAAAGGTCAACCCCCCTGCAATGAGCAGGGACATCTTTAACCATAAATCAGGTTGCTCAGAGCCCCATCCAGCCTGACCTTAAATTTGTTTCCAGGGATGGGGCGACCACAACTTCTCTGAGCAACCTGTGCCAGGGCCTCACTGGGAACCACTTCTCCCTAATATCCCGTCTAACCCTGCCCTCTGTCAGTTTGAAGCCGTTCCCCTCGTCCTGTCCCTCCAGGCTCTTGCTTGGAGTCCCTCTCCAGCTCTCCTGGAGCCTCTTTAGGCACTGGAAGGGGCTCTCCTGTCTCCACAGCGTGTTCTCTTCTCCAGGTCGAACATGCCCAGCTCTCTCATGCCCCACAGGGAGGCTCCATGCCCAGGGAATACTTAGCATGAGGTTTGTTTGCTGAAGCAAGGGGCTGGCTCCCAGCTCTTTGGTTTGCTGGCCCTGGGCCATGTCGTGGGGCACATGCAAAGCAGCAGAGCTGAAGCAGCGAGGGGAAACTGCAGGGATCTATTTTCAGTTTGGTTTCAGGAGGGGAAACTGCAGAGATCCATTTTCAGTTTGGTTTCGGGTTGCCTGGAGTGTGGTCTGGTAACCTGAGGACACGAGATCTCCCTTGTCTGTCCCTCAAAAGCTGGGTGTGAGCAGCCTATCGGTTCATTGCAGGGTGGGTTTCAGCCTGTCAGCAAATTTACAAACATCCTGCCAAAAAGAAAAGTGTCTCTCATGTGGTTTCTGGCCTCGAAAATACCTCCTTCCTGTGCTACGAAAAAAAACAAATCTGACTGCAGAAAGTACAGAGGTTTTTTGGAGTTGTATTTTTTTTTGTCTGTGTGTATTTTATTTTTTTTTATATATATATTTTTCATTAAAAAAAAGGTGCTTCAGCTCTGGCTGGTCACCTGCAAGCTTATTGTGGCCGTGCTGAAGGGGCACAAGGCAAAAAACCACAGTAGTTTTAGAAATGTGTATTTATTTTTCTGGGTGTAACCTCCTTCCTTGCTGCGTAAGCAGGGGAGCACGGAGGGGACACCGGGAATTCCAGCGAGTCCCTCCCCTGCAGAAACCTCTAAGCAAGCAAATATGCATGAAACCACTTCAAAGAGGTGAGATTCAGGGGTAGGAGGACCCCTGTGCTGCTGAAACTCAACTGGTTTTTTTTGTGTTGAGCATCCTGCTGAAAGCACAACGAAGGGGGGGGGGAATAAATAAACGGTGGAAGTAGGAGGGGAAAAGGAAAAAAAAGCCCCTTTATACAGTGAGCTGCAGCCTCCTGGGCTTGTTGCTGGCAGAAAGTAGGACACTCCTGCTGGGTTTTCTTCTCTGGAAAGGCTAAACTTGGCTGTGAGTGGGTGGAAGCAGCCGGCATGGAGATGTGTGTGATCTCCCCATCCCCTGCTCATCCAGCTCTGCCGCCGTGGGGCTGGAGAGCTGCTGGCAGGAGCTGCGTGTCCGGTTTAAGCCCGGGCTTGCAAAGGTGATTACACACTCAGCTCGCTGGGATGAGCGGGAATTAAATCCCGAGTGTCTCTGCTGTGGAGCACCCGAGGTCTTGGGTTGCTCACCGGGCTTGGAGCTCGCCGGGGTGGGTGTGGGGTTTGGTGGGAGGGAGCTGGGAGGGTTTGGAGGAGGAGGAGGAGGAGGGTGCGCTGGTGTGTTTGTAGAGATAGAGGAGCTCGTGGCCTGGTGATGTGTCTGAGTCAGGGAGTCAGGCGTGGGGACGTGGAACAAGCTGCTGGTGTTGGGGGTTGAATTGGAGTTGGGCATTTGGATGTGAATTATATTAAAGGAGGCAGGAGAGCAGAGAAACCACCGAGCCCTGGAGCATCTTCGGGTGGGTGGTGCTTGTGCTCCTGCAGGGGAGGCTGTGGTCCATTCTTTTGTGCTCTTGGATTTCCCCTGCATCTCTGTTCCCCAAATTGGGTCTTTCTTGGTGCCCTGCATCTCCCTGCTGAAAAGCTTCAGTGGGAGGAGGAGCAGGGGGGCAGTGGCCACAGGCACCTCCAGTGCATGTGGGGGCCCCTCTGGATGGGTAGGGGGTCACTCTTGGGGGCTGTGACCCCAATCAGGATCCCCAGGGCAACAGGATGGCCAAAAAGAGGCTGTAAAGTCCAGAAAGTCTGAATTTGGAGTGATATCTTTCAGGAAGAGCACTGCAGAAGGGCCAGGAGTCAGCAAGTCCCTGGGGCTGCAGCCCTGCCTGTGGTTTGCTGTAGTGGTGGGATGTCATTTACTCCTTCTCCTGGTCCTTATTCTCCATTTCTGTGGAAGTAAACACAGGTTTTAATACCCTCCAAATCCCTTGGATCTGCTTCAAAAAGTATTTTCCTGCTGCTGCTAATCCTGCAGTGGTCAACAAACAGGGTTGCCTCACCTGATTTCTCCTGAGCTGCAGGAGGAGGGTTATTTCTCTGCTCCTGTGTCTCTCCTGACTTTTGGGGTAATTCGGGATACAAGGGGCCTGATGCAGCCAAATGTTTTACTCTCCCACACGTTGCTGTGATGATCCTTGGGTGTTGCTTGTGGTCCGAGCCTACCTTGGGAAGTTTGCAATGATGCTCCAATCTGGCTGCAGGTGGAGTGTCCCATTCTGTGGCCAAGATGTGGCCGTCCGTGTCCATCCTGTGTGTCCTGGTGGCCTTCGCCAATGCTCGCAGCATTCCTTACTTCCCTCCCCTCTCCAGTGACTTGGTCAACCACATAAACAAGCTCAACACCACCTGGAAGGTGAGTACTGGGTTGATTTGGGGTTTTTTTTTTGGGGGGGGGGATATACATTGGGAGTCCCACCACAGTGGTGACATCAAACCCACCTTGGCTCCAGTTGATTTTTCCAGTGAAGTGATGCTCTCAGGGATTCCCAGAGTGACAGTTAACTGGAGCTTCTCCTCTTTGGAGCAGAGCACTGATGAGTTTGTGGAATAGGAGCAATGTAAGAGGAGGAAACCCTGGAGGAGGCTGGAAACAAGCAGCAGGTGTCCAGCTCTGTTGGTGACCTGCCCAAACCCTCCTTGGCCACTTTGCTGTGGCCAGAGCCTCGAGATGGACCTTACTGGTCGTGATGGGCTGTGTTCTGTGTCTCTGGGTGGTTGGCTCTTGACCCCTGGGCTTTACAGCAAGTGTCAGGCTCTGGTTGGGGTTCAGGGAGCTCTGGAGCACCAGGCTGGTCCCACCAATGTGCTTGGTGGCTGTGAAGAGTTGTGTCCCATTTCTGTGTGTCTCTTCCCAGGCAGGGCACAACTTCCAAAATGCTGACATGAGCTATGTGAAGAAGCTCTGTGGCACCTTCCTGGCTGGGCCCAAGCTCCCTGAGAGGTGAGTGCTGGAAGAAGAAGGTGAAGCTCCTGTAAAAACTTGTGTGGATCCTCCAGATGTGTCTGTGAGGGACTCTTCTGTCAGACTGTGAGCAGTGTTCCCGTAGGTGCAGCCTGGTGGACATCATGCATGGAATTAAGCATGGAGCATGTGTGAGGGGAATATGCGTCCTGCCAGATACTTGACCAGTTGTGTAATTTGTTATCCTTGAAAATTAACACACTAGAGGAGCTGCTGACCTGGTCTGAGGACGTCAGAAGCACTTAAGCTCCTTCAGTCAGCAAACAACAAGAGCCCTCATCCTCCAGGTCACCTTCAGAGGAGGTTGAAGAGTGCAGAGCAGCCAGTCCTGTTACACTGGTGCTCCTGTGACGGGAATTCCCTCTTCTCACTCGCAGGGTGGACTTTGCTGCAGACATGGAGCTGCCCGATAACTTCGACTCACGAACACAGTGGCCCAACTGTCCCACCATCAGCGAGATAAGAGATCAGGGCTCCTGTGGCTCCTGCTGGGTAAGAACATGGGCAGCTTAAGGTCCTGTTAATACAGACTTTGCTGGACAAAAACTGTGCTGTTGAGTTTGCTACTGAACTGTGTAAATCATAGAATCACGAAATAATTTGGGAGGGAAGGGACCTTAAAGATCATCCAGTTCCAACCCCCCTGCCATGAGCAGGGACACCTTCCACTTGACGAGGTTTCTCCAAGCCCCATCCAGCCTGGCCTTGGACACTTCCAGGGATGGGGCAGCCACAGCTTCTCTGGGCAACCTGTGCCAAGGCCTCATCACCCTCACAGGGAAGAATTTCTTCCCAATATTCCATCTAACCCTGCACTCTGGCATTATGAGGAAGCCATTCCCCCTTGTCCCTGTCCAAAGTCCCTCTCTAGTTCTCTTGGAGCCCATTTAGGCACTGACAGGGGGGCTGAGCTCTCCCTGGATCCTTCTCTTCTCCAGGCTGAACACCCCCAGCTCTCCCAGCCTGGCTCCAGAGCAGAGGGGCTCCAGCCCTCGGAGCATCTTTGCTGCCCTGTATGGGGTAACAGGGGGGATCCTGCAGTGTCTGAGCTCCTCAGTGTCTTCTCCCAGCCAGGCCCATGCCTGCTGCGCTCCGTGCCAGGAGGTCTCCTGGTTTCTCTCCCATGACCAGCTCTAATGGTGTTTTGGGGCTGCCCACAGGCTTTTGGCGCCGTAGAAGCGATTTCAGACCGAATCTGTGTCCACACCAACGCCAAGGTCAGTGTGGAGGTGTCAGCTGAGGACTTGCTGTCATGCTGTGGCTTCGAGTGCGGCATGGGGTGAGCTGCTCCTGGTCCTTGTGCACTTGGAAGGGGGGTGGGAGGAGCAGGGACACAACCTGGAGATGCTCTTTGCTTCACCTCTGTCTTCCTGGTCTCCCTAATGAACAGGAAGCTCCACCAGAGGTCTGTGCTGTGAGTGCTGGAGTTAGATGGGGGAAAAAAAAGGTGATTTCATGGACAGGAAGTCCTCTGGGACACATCCTGTCCCCAGGACAGTAGATGATGATGGCTGGTGGAGAGAGGGCAAGCACACAGCGATGCTCTCCCATGCAGAGCTGGCAGCTGCCAAAGCCAAGGGAAGGTTCTTTTCATGATTCCAGATCCTTGGTTTTCAGGCACAAGCCTTTTGCCTGTGGCTTTTCCAGTTGTTGAGCACAGGGTAGGGAGTTTGGTCTCCCAAGTCCTGTTGCTCCTGACAGCAGAAGCTGAAAAGGGACCTGGTAGGGAGGCGCTTTGGAATTTGGAGGCTCTTAGCTCCTTACCTGAGGGCTTTGGTGCCTCAAAGCGAGTCCTTGAGGGGAGGGCAGGAACAGACTGAAAGAAGGTTCAGCATGCCCAAAACTTTCCTTCAGCCACTCAAACTCACTCCATTCCCCTTGCCTCCCCCAAAATGGGCAAGCTGGGGCTAGAACTGCTGCTTCTTCCTCCAGGTGCAATGGTGGTTACCCCTCTGGTGCGTGGAGGTACTGGACAGAGAGGGGCCTCGTGTCTGGGGGCCTCTACGATTCCCATGTGGGTAAGTCCTGGCAGATACCCTTGGGAAAACAAAGAGGACCATCTCTGCCTGGTTAAGGTTCATGTCCTTCAGGTTGCTTCTGTGCTGGTGTGCATCCTTGTGGCTGCTCCCTCCTTTAGTCTAGACTCAAAACACCGCTGCTGTCCTGGCTCCCTGCCCCCACTTGTGGTGGCTCCTTCTGGTCACTCCTCTGGGACAAGGGTCCCTGAGCAGCACCTAGAGGCAGGAGACCCATCCAGCAAGGGAACCAGTAGGCCTTAACTATCCCACAAGGCTCCTGCTCCCATAGCAGGAACGAATCAGGCTGTGAATTTTTTGTTGTAGCTGGTTTTGGACTAGTTTGGTGCATTTTGGATGAGGTCAGGAGATCTTCCCAGCATGTTTCCCCTTCAAAAAGTAACTTCCAGAATGGAAACCTCACCCTCCTGCTGGCATGGCCATGTTCCCATCATGTTTCCATCTTTTCCATCTCCTTGTCAAGAGGCGGGTGGTGGGAAGCGGGTCCAGAGGGAAACCCTTTGCTGATGGAGGGATTGCCCAACTGGCAGGGGAAAGACCTACTCTTGCACCCCACGGATCTGTGGGGTTCCTGGGTCAGAAAGGCCCTTTCTTGGGGCATCTGGTGCCTTCTCCAGCATGGCTGTTAAGAAATCCGAGGACAGCCTGTTCATGTCACCTCTGTCCTCAACAGGCTGCCGTCCCTACTCCATCCCACCCTGCGAGCACCACGTGAACGGCTCCCGGCCCCCCTGCACCGGGGAAGGAGGGGGAACCCCGAGATGCAGCCGGCACTGTGAACCTGGATACTCACCCTCCTACAAGGAGGACAAGCACTATGGTAAGGGAGGTGACAGCACAGCTCCGGAGTTGCTCCTTGTGGCAGCTTGGTGGGGTTGGCAGGGTTGGACCTGTTCCCAAGCTTGGTTTACAGTGGTCATTTTCTGTGCCTTGTCCCTGGAGACCCCGGTCTGGTGGTTCTGGAGCAAACACCAGCCTGGCAGATGTTCAGTTTGTGTTTCTATTCCCCATCAGCTGAGACTGGGGAAGGAAGATGGTTTGAGTCCTCATGGTGCACGAGGGATATCTGGAGCCCACTTTGCCTGCCTGACTGTGTCAGTGTCTCCAGAGCACCTGGGCTTGAATTTAACCTGAGTTTAAGGGGAAGAGGCTTCTTGCAGGGTCACACTGAGCAGTCTTGGTCGAGCCATCCAATCCCTGTGTGGCCTGACAGTTCTGTCCTGAGTTTGAGAATTTTTTCCTCCCTAGGCATCACCTCCTATGGAGTCCCTCGCAGTGAGAAGGAAATCATGGCTGAGATCTACAAGAATGGCCCAGTGGAAGGAGCCTTTATTGTCTATGAGGATTTCCTGATGTACAAGTCTGGTGAGTGTCAGCACTGAGGCTGTGGGGAGCCTTGTTCCCTACTTCATCCAGAGGGTCCTTTCTTTGTGGCCCTTGTCCCTCTGCTCAAGTCTGAAAGGAGATCTGAAGCTCACACTTGAGTATCTGGTGTGGTAGGACCATGGGCAGGTGCCATCTCCTCTATCTGCTGGTTTATAGCAAAGGGAATCGGTGCTGGGGAGTGTTTCAGGGAGGGAACCCCAATGGGGACCGCCCCAAATTCCAGCTGAGAACAACAGCTTGGATTTTAGGTAAAATCCTGGCAGAAGGACCCCAATTCCTTGTTCTGAACTGCTTTTTGGCCCCTTGCTGAGTGTTTCTGGGTGTCCTGCGTGCTGAGCTGGTGCTGAGCATCAGTCATAGAATCGTGGAATGGTTTGGGTTGGAAGGGACCTTAAGGATCATCTCATTCTAACCCTCTGCCATGGGCAGGGATGCCTTCCACTATCCCAGGTTGCTCCAAGCTCCATCCAGTTTGTCCTTGGACAGTTCCAGGAATGAGGCAGCCACAGCTTCTCTGAGCAACCCATGCCAGGGCCTCATCACCCTCACACCAAGAATTCCCCCTAACACCCAATCTAAAACCTCCTCTCTTCTAGTTTAACACCCCTCCCTCTTACCTCACCACTGTCTCCCCACGTAAAATTCCTTCCTCCAGCCCCTTTTAAGTTTCAGGTTCACATTTAACCAAAAACCTCCTCTCAGCCACCCCCTGGGGACGCCAGATCGGGCGTCCCACCGTGTCTCAGTGCCCTGTGGCGTGGAGAACACGGTGCCAACGTGGAGGTGTTGGTGTGTTGCCTTGCAGGGGTGTACCAGCACGTGTCTGGGGAGCAGGTTGGAGGCCACGCCATCCGGATCCTGGGCTGGGGGGTGGAGAACGACACCCCGTACTGGCTGGTGGCCAACTCCTGGAACACCGACTGGGGGGACAACGGTGAGGCCCCGCAGGGGAACCCCCCCTCCCTGTTCTCCTGGGCGCGGTGAGGGGGTTTGAGGTTGAGTGTTGCTCTTGGTGTGCTTCCAGGCTTCTTCAAAATCCTCCGAGGGGAGGACCACTGCGGCATCGAGTCCGAGGTCGTGGCCGGCATCCCCAGGACGGAGCAGTACTGGAAGAGGATGTAACAGGCTTGGATCAAACCACAAATAATCCTGAGTCCCTGATGCTTTTAACTGATAGCGGGTTGGGTGCAGAGACCCCCCTTTCTAAGAGACTATAGTTGAGATTACTTTATTAAAGCTTTTTATCTTTTTATCTTTTCTTTTCTTTTTTTTTTTTTCTTTTTTTTTT